ACCTACCTCGTGAAAACAGGGTGGGCGGCGGTGATATCTGCACGCGCTCATACAATTCAAGCTCTAGCGCCACGTGGCTTATGGCTGGGAATGGGACGATGACCACTGTAGCGTGGACTGTGGCGAACGTTGTGGAGGTTGTTTTGGTGCGGAGGAGTCTCGATATAGGCAAACCACCGTCTCGCATAGAATGCGGATAGCGTCGGCAAACACACAGCCTACTTGGATGCCTATAAACACACAGCCTTGGATGCCCAAGAGTTTATGGAACCAATGCACCCGTCGTGCATACCGTGGTTTTTTTACGGACACGATGACATTGGATTACCCCCTTCTCGCTGGTACGCCATCCAGTCGTCTGCAGGATCAGCACACAACAATAATATGGTTAAAATTATTCGGTTAACGCCATGAGCTTCTCGTAGGTAGAATTGATAATTCCCCAGGTCACGAGCGACCGTACGAAATTGATGTGGACGCCACGGTAGACCTTTGCCCAGCTGCCCCCTCTCTCGTGGTACGTCAGTTCCAGGGCTTCCATTACGCCCATATGCCGCCGCGTTGCATAGACACTTTGCATGCGGGTTTTGGCCACTACGAAAAGCACGATAAGGTTTACAATGCACACCGCACCACCTCCAGCTTGTATTTGTACCATTGAGTGGAAAGAAGAGCGTACTGAGGAATGCTCCGAGCACAGCGCCGCTGACAAAATCGGCAGCAAACGTGCCGTGGGACGTCGTCGTCAGGGGCAACAAGTCCCTCACAGGTTCACGAAGGCCAAAGAAGATAATGTTGGACGGGGCATTGCGGATCAAGATCGCTGTCACACCACGATAATGTTCGCGGAGGCCGCGGCGCGTGACCTTGACGACAGCATCTGCCGCACTTGAAAACGTTGAGTTGTACTTTGTGGTTTGGAGCAACGTTTGAATCCTCTACACAAGCAATGGTCGTCAGGTTTCGTGAGAAGGCGAAATCGAGACCTCGAATGGTGTCAGAATCGCTTCTGACGTGCCCGAGAGGAATGCCGCGTAATGTGATGTGGATATACCACCAATCTCGGGGCCAAATGTGTCTGTTAACTTGGTGTAGTACGTATTGTACAGCCCAAACATAATGGATTTCGAAACCGCTGCCTGCATCAAAGGCGGACGAACACCGCGGTAGAGCCTTGACCAGCCATCTGCTTGTATACTAGACCACGCGTCGACTGTGGACGTGCCGTACAGCTACAGATAGTTCTAGTTGAGCGTGGGGCAATCAAAATCGGCCGACGAAGGCAGCACCTGCTGTCGAAACATAATCTTGTTTGGGATGAACGTAAGCACAATGTTGATAGCGGCAGCCGTCCCGCCGCAGAGAAACTCGCGCAGATTCGAGTGCCGTTGGAAGAAGCGTTCATCTTCACGAGCAGCAGACGTCGTAGCTGCTTCGACCATGGCGACACCTCTGAGACAGACTTCCTTGCTGGTACCGCGGTCGGAGCTACACCACAGCCCGCCGTTATCCGGATATCCGATGCATGCACCTATTTTGGGTCACGTTATCCGGATTCTTGAAATGACTGGACGTCGTAAACTCCGTTGTCCAATCAAAACACCATATTGTACAATTTTATCCAATCAAACCCGTCAAGAACATGGCGAATTCGCAAACATTGTTGCGTTGGAAGAAAATTTTGGTTCACGTATGAACACCATTTAATACCACGAGATAATGTTGCCAACCAACTCGATGGAGCAGGACGTCGTCATCAGAAGATAAGGTTGTTTGTTGATTTGTAGATTCGCTTGATCCTTCAGAATTCGCTGATATTTTCTATTTTCTCTTCTGTTTTTGTCGATGGTTGCGGTAATACAAAAAGTTCCATGGTGACGATCTAATAGGAATGATGGTCAAGAATATCCGGATGGCCCAAAATTGACAACGTTTCTGCGCGTGGTGGCGTCGGCGGCAAGAGATAGAGGAACTGCTAAACTTGCGCACACGGGCTGATGAATTAGCCAACAAACTCCAGGAGCTAATCCACCTGGACCAACTTGGAAGCAGGCAGCCGACGTCTTGAGCGGCACAACGGGTATCGATTGCGCGCTGCCATCGTTTTTGCCTCCTTGCCGCGGTAGCAGCGTCGTGAGCATACGCAGTTGAGATGGTTTATCGTTGTCATAACAAACTGTTTACCACGGCAACGTGGACGTCGATATGGCAAGATGGTTGTCTTACAATCGACAAACCCAATTGCGTCTCAGTCTCTAGTGGATGCGTCATCGCTGCTCCAACATGACGCAGCTGAATTGGCCGACGACAACCTGCTGTTCTCGGTGTTCTCGGCACAGCCCAATGCTCACCGCAGTGCCGTTGAAACAGAATGGTGCAAATAGTAGTTGACGTCAACTCGCCTGTCATTTTCCCGTGAGCGCTGGGTGCTGTTTGGTGACAATACGAATGCCGCGGAAGTCCTCAAGTGGACTCGCTCGATCCTGCCCACAAGTAAATAGAACCCAAGTTTGCATTGAAACATGATGTGTGATGGTTGCGATGGTATTGACCACAAAGACACGTGCATGACACGGGGAAGCACGGGGCAAAATGTCAGCGCCCTGCCGTGCGAACGCCTAGGTCCGCATAGATTGTTGGGTGTTCTGGAATCATCGTCGACAACCCGGTGGAGTCTACCTCGGACAAGATCCCCCAGTTGCGTAATGCGTTCGTCGAATTCCGTGACTGAATGCATGTCATCGCGGCAATGGTAGCCTAGTCTTGGACCGACATGGTGCCAAACCACGCGAATGCAATAGATCATTGACGTCGGCAAAGAGTACAGCCATATCTTTGGGACCTTGGGCATCAGTGACAGAATGGGGCAGCCACTCGGCGAATAGACTTCAAAGCGGTGCCGCGTGGCTCGAGCAATGGCGAACACCAGCGCGCAATGACATCGTCACGACATGAAGGGCAGTCGAATATCCGTTGCGCTCGGGCGTTAAAACATGCATTCGTTCCCATTAAGCCGGGCAATGAGGATGGTCAAAGATGTAGTGACGGCCTCTTCGCCGCGGCGGAAGCAGATGTGGGCGGATTCATGGCGGTTTCATGTATTCGAAATAGTGTGAAAACATTAAATAGTGTATCGAAAGTATTTGGCGACTTTCGATCTTTTGGAGACAGACGCATGCGCTTGATCAGCGTGGTGGGAGCGACGGCGGTGCCGCTGAGTAAGTAGTTGTCTGATGCGGATGGTTCTGACCTGGTTGAAATAGCTTGGGGCTGGAAGCAATGGAAATGGGAGGGCCAAGGCCCCGGCTCGCGGCGCGGGCATTCCCTCGCGTTGCACGGGTACACAGGTCAACTTTGTGGCGCAGCACTTACCCAGCGCGCGCAGGTCACGCGCCATTATCTTTGGAGGACGCGCGGACGACATTCGAGTTCCTCATGTCCCCAAATCTTACGACACTGTGGAAACCAAAGGACGACTCGAGTTTTCCACATACACCGAACATCCTGGTAGGAACCCGACGTCGACATGGATGCTCACCACACGGTTCCCATGCAGTCAAAGACTCATGCGTCGATGAATCATGCACGGTGCCCATCGGCGTATACTACAACGACGTGTGGGCATACGATATCAGTACATGCTTCTCAGTTTCCTCAACGCGATCCCTCACCGACCACGCTCCCTTCGAGAGAATAGATTGTACTCGATATGCAGACGACAGTTGCGTCGACAAGTCGTGGGTGCAGCTTCACGAAGGACTTCCTTGGGGCGGTACCAAGCCGATGTCTCCTGCAATCGTCGCTCACGGTGTGCCAAGGATGCAACATGCGGTACGGCGCCCTCGTGTGCCCCAAGCCGCCCGAACGCTGGTTTCACAAAGCCGAAGTGTTTCAAGACGCGATGGTCATCTACGGCGGATTTGGAATGCTCTGCACCGACTACTGCGACGATATGTGGTCGAATCGATCGCCTGGAACGTTGTCTTGGCACTCAAACTTCCGTGGGAGCAGGCGGTTCAACTTTGACGACAACTCGTGGACAGAATTGCACGAACTGGGCAACCCGGTCGGCCCTGGGAAGCGGTGGAAATTTTCGTCGTCGGCGACCGCGACTTCCATGTTCCTCTTTGGTGGGTATCGCCTGTGGCACGGCTTTGCTCCTCAAAACAGGTGCGAATTCATTTCAAGAGCGATGACTTGGTTGACGAGTCATGGACTGGTGTAGCGAGGCCAACGCCTGGTCCGACTTGTCCGTGTACCCGCCGGGAGGTTACCTCGACGACTTGTGGCAGCTCCACGTTGGTAGGCGCGTCATCATGATGCACGTCGTCTTGGTGGAGAGTTCTCGGACGCGTCTTGGTGAATGTGTCATATTCTCCCGGGGCGGACGGCTTGTGGCGTCGTCGAGTTGCCGTCATGAAATCGTCGAATGGATCGTGGTAGGCAATGGATCATGGGTGCAGCGGGTTCCAAAACCGACGTGCGACGCCTTGTCTGAGGTAATTACAGGACGGCGATTACCGCTTTTCGAGCATCTTCTTCAAATCCTGACCGTGAGAGCAGACGTGTTCGATCGAGTGGCCGCCAGGTCGAGCCGGCCACGCGTCGGTGGTCTTGCGCGATGGATTGTAAGCTGCGCGCCGACGGCACGTTCCCCGTTGAGGTCGTCGGGCTGTAGGTACATTTACGGCGGATATCGGACATTCTTCCCGTATCCTGCCACGGATGGCCGTGGCGGCGGCCGTGGAGTGCTGGACGGCGCCAGTCCAGGTACGACATCTACCCGCGCATGGCACGTATGCGTTGCATCGGGCATGGACTCGTCGACGCGCCACTGACAGCACGGGTGGACATGACGATATCGTGATTCGAATGCTAGGGTACACCCCATTTCCCACGAATCCGTACTACCTCAGCGACCTGTGGGTGTACAACCTCTCGACGGGGGTGTGGAGAGAAATGGCGCCTCGATATGGCACGAGGCCAGGGCCACGTGCAGAACATTCCCTGGTCCGTGTGCATCTGGCCCGTGCACACCAACTCATGTGGTCGAGCTAGGTCGCTGCCGGCGACGTGTTTGTCTTGTTTGGCGGGTATCGCTCCAACTATTACTACGAAGACACGTGGCACTTCAACACCAGTACGCATCGACAACGTCATGTCGTCGATAGAGGTTTGGACTTGGCGCGCCGACAACGACTGCATGCATAGCGGCGTCCCAGTGGCTTCAACAAGAAGCATTTATCCACGCATTGTACCCACCCAACTGCACCGACGACCTGGCGGCGAGGGCCGATGCATTCAGCGGAACGTATCGGTACATACCCCATGGAACGATCTATCGACGCGACATGGGCGTGTAGGCCGTACGTGGCCGTAAACGACACGTCCAAGTCGGTCGACCAGCTGGAGAAGGAAGCGCACTACGGCACAGCGACAGTACGTGGCTCGCGACGAACGAGTGGACCTCAACTTTGTTGGTCAGTTCTCGGTGATCGCGGTCCCGACCAGAGGTGTCGTCGGCGTCCCCGGTGTGCCCACCGCTACGTTGCGATCGTTGAACAACGTGGCATTGTAGACACATTCTATGCTCAAGCCAGGCGGAAAGCTCCTGGGTGGGACGGATGCCGCGACCGCATCGATCAACGGTACGAAGCCGCGGGCAAGTGTGCGCCATGTTCCATCGTCTGACGCCGTCGCGGCGATCTAGCACCGACTTGCCGTGGATGTTGCAGTGGTCGCGGCCAGCGCAGCGTGCGGGCCACATGGCAGTCTACCACGCGGTGCGTGTGTGTCTCTGTGGTGTTTGTGTCCTTGACTGTATGTGGCGCATCTCTTTAGGAATATCAACTCATGCTGCTCTACGGCGGCTATGGTACGACCATCGGCCATCTCTTGACGGTGGTGCTGTCCATCACTCGATTCCAAAGGCGTGATGCAAGAAGAACTGTATACTGCCAACTCGTCGACGGCTGCTTTCACGTACGGCGACTGGTGGTCGTACAGGTTGGCACGACCCGATACCAGCATCTCGGACGAACCGTTCGTAGTTTGGCCAACTGCATCAAGAACTGCAGCTTGCACGGGGTGTGCTCGTACGGGCGGTGCATTTGCGACGAAGGGTACTATGGCGTCGACTGCTCCAACATGTACGATCATGCCGTGTGATGCACCTCCCGTGACATGACCACGTGCGCAGCACATGCCCTGGAAGCGTGTGTGCATTCAACGACATGACAAAGGGCACGAGTTGCGTGCACTGCTGCTTCTCGGGTGCGGCGTCGACGTGATTTTCGTGCGTCGATCGCATATTGTGGTAGGATTTGAGCACACGGACAACGACACATACGTGCCCAACATTCAAAAGGCGCCGTGCACACCAACCAACACGCACTACTCGAACGGGTACGTGCGCGGTCTCTCTCGACAACGTGCGGCATGATACAGTCGTCGAAAAGCGTGTGCGACGGGTTTGGTCAGTGCATTTGCCGACCGCCGTTCATCGGGGTAAGCATGTTGTCCGTCTACCACGGCGGTCGCCGGGACTGAAACTTGTGGACCAGGCAGACTGTTCGATTCGAAATTGCGCGCACAATTGCTCGGGCCACGGGTTTTGCAGGTGCGTCCGACTCGACTCGACGCATGGGATCATGGTCATGGCAGCGCCGAGTTTCCGATCTCGCGGTGTTTGTGCGATCCTGGATGGGCGGGCAAGTACTGCGATCAGCGTACGTCGCAACGTTGTCGTAGCCACATTTGACGCGGTGGGGTGTCAGGGGTGTGCTTGAACAACTGCTCGTATCCAAATGGCGTGTGTGTAAACGGGTCGTGCTTTTGCTCGATGCTGTACGAGCCGTACAACAACACCCTCGAGTATTTTCCGTTTCTCGGCGACGACTGCTCGTTCATGCTGCCGTTCAACAGCGCCAGGCAAGCTTCGTTTGGACTGGCATGGGTCGGAGCAATCATTGTGTACCTCGCATGGGAAGCGCATGGGTAGTGTGGCCCACCAACGACATCACGCTCCGTCGGTCGTCGCGATTGAAACCCGTGGCGACGACGATGGGCACGGTCCACATTGCAAACAACTCGGCACACGACCCATTTTTTACGCGGCGTATTCGACTGCGCTTTGGCCAGTGGAATATACATGCCATCGCCGATAACGCAATCGCATCTTGTGTTCACGTTCCCAATGTATACATGCACTACGACCGGGCTCAATCCCCGAGAAGATTCCCAACATCGGCGTCGCCCCAGTCATCCGCTTCTACGACCTGTGGGTGAGCCATGGCGATTCATGCCGTCGTACCATCGGCTTTTTCCTTTCGAATCGATTTGGGGCTGGTCGATGCTATTGTATCCATGGTCAGAACATCCCAACCATGCCTCCTGGCCGTGTCGTTATTACCGGTGGATGACATGGGCTTGGGCACGGCGTAGTCGTCCGCATCGACGGCAAAGCTCTTGTTGTTTTCTTCCCGATTCGATGCGGCACCGTCGCGATGCGCCGAAGGATGGTCGTACACGCCTACAAAGACGCGTTCACGTGGCGTCGGTCCAGTGGATCGATTCGTACTGCTATCCGTGTGCTGGTTGTTGGCTTCGCCACGGCGGCCGCCCGCCGACCCCCCTCGTTCATTTTGTCCTGCCGTCCACACAAGAATCATTCACGCGTCGTTGCAACGAGACGATCGTCGCACCACTGGCAGGTCGGCTCACGTTTGGCTGCTGCTGCTGGCTGGTAGGTGGTGACCCATTCGACGCTGCGGTCGCATTCAGTTGCGAGTTGATTTTCGCGGCGTTTTCTAGCCACACGTCGTCAAAGCACCCAGTTGGACCTGGGCGAGGTACCGCGTTCGAGTTTGGCGAGCGCGTGCTGGTGATGCTCGTACTTTTGGCCCAAATCTTTGCAAATCGCGACCAAATATCGGAGGCACTCGAGGTTGTCGGGGTAGTCGACGTGGATTTGCTCGTACAGGACTAGCGCCTTTTGATACGCCCCCATGCGGCGATGGCAGCTCGTCACCATGAGGCGCCACTTCACTTCAGTCGGTTGGATTTGCGCCGCCCGTTCAAAGAACTGGATCGCTTTCTCGTACAGCTCGCTCTTGACATACCACACGCCGAGCCACGATATGACGTCCAGGTTGACGGGGAAATGCCGGTACGACTCGAGGTGGTAGTGGAAAGCTTGGGTTTCGTCGTCATCTTTGTTAAAGATCTGGCCCATGCGCGCAAGGACGCCCGGGTCGGCAATGTTCTTGGCCGACCCAAAGCACGACAGCAGGATGTTAAACCTACCAAATTCCCGTGAACGGCCAACGCGACCTGTGACAATTGCACTACCACTTGGCGGCCTGGCGGTAGTTGCCCATCATGTCATGCAAGTTGGCTATTTGGTAGAGGACCTAGCGCAGCGTGTGAGGCTGAGCAAAGTGTTGTGCTGAGCGGACACCTCTGTGTTGGTTGGCACGATGCTGTGCAGCTTCTCAAATGCTTGGAGCGCTTCGTTTAGCACGCCAATCTTGATATTGACCAAGCCCAAGTTGAAGATTGCTTCGATGCAGTCCGCCTCGACCCCTACAACCACATCGTCGGCTGCAACGACCGCATCGTAGCATCGTCGGCGTACCGATCGCTTCCAAGTACAGCTCCTTGGCCCGTTCGCACTCGTTCTTGATGTACAAACAATTGCCCTTGTTCACGAGCGCCTTGGCGTTGTAGCGTTGGTGGCGCACAGCCAGGGACGCAAATTTGTCGGCTTGCGCATAGTCGCCCTCGACAAAGTACAGGAAGCTCAAGTTTGTCGCGGCCATCGCTTTGAGCGCCGGGTCCTTCTTCTCGAACGCTTTGAGGACCTCGATCGCTTTGTCAAAGTCCTTGTTCTTCAAAAAGTGCAGCGCCTTGCAGATTTCCCTACGACAAACACGTCGACATCGCCATCGCATTGGATCCGGCGGTACATTTCGCTCGCGATCGGTTCGTGGTCGACTTTCATGGCGTCGATAACCCAATTGTATCCGGCGAGCCAGTCCTTCTTGTCGAGCGCAGGAGCGCACAACTTGGCCGCGGTCAGGATGAATTCGGTGGCTTTTTTCTGGCGCGCGCGAATCTCCGCCTTGAGGCTACGGCCATCGACACGCAAATCGTCCAAGAAGGGTTCGCCGTGTGGGTATGTTTACGCACCCGTCCTTTTTCAAGTGCACGACGGCCGGCACGCCCGTCGGGATGTCGCCGTCCTTGCTTTCGTCGTCCTGGCTATCGTCGTCGCTCACGCCTGGTCCATGGAAATTCGGCCACCGATGCATTTCGAGAGACAATAATCGCACGTACCCTCCATGGGGATTCCGATGAGGTTGGTAAACCCGCGGCGCATCTTGTCGTGCTCCCCGATCGCATAGTAGCAAATGATGAGGTTGAATCCAGACTGGAAGTCCGGGTTGCCCTCCATGATATCTTCAAACGTTGTCGCAGCGTCCTGGTAGTGGCCGAGCTTGATTTGTGCCGACCCGATGTTCTTCTTGATGTTGTATCGGATTTCCTTGGACGTGTTGGGGATTTGATCGAGCGCCATGCGGTACATGCGAATCGCGGTCGGGTACTGCTGCTGCTCAAAGTAAATATTGCCCTAGTGCCATCGCCCCATCAGCCACGGTGTCCCGATAGACGATCGAGGAGAGACCATGTTCACCCGCAGGCGGCCCCCTTGCGGGTACTGCTTGTTTTTCACGATCGGCGTGTAACTACAGCCCGTCATTCCCAGCCATTGAATCGCCTTTGCCTCGTCGAATGGATGGCGCACACGACTCTACCTTTGAATTGCTTCTTTCCACAGCCCGTTCAGGTGGTACGCGTTCGCCAGATTGAAAAACACGGCATACGTCAGGTCGATGTTGGTCATGTCGGTGAGCCCGTGTGTTTCGCAGTGCTTGGTGAACGCGCGCTCCTTCTTGCCCTACTCGTCGCCGTCGTAAGCCCTCGATCCGTCGCGCTCGACGCACTACCGCTTCTTTCGCCAGCCGCAGTGCTTCTTCGTTGTTGTGCTTGACCGCGGCCTCGGAACTCTGCTCGATCAGCGAGTTGACGAGCTTTTCCATGTCTCGAGCGGTCTCCTTGGGGGAGTTTTCGGCCTTTTCAGCGAGCGGCGGCGCTGGTGCCTTGCGCGCTTCGCCGAGCGGGTCAAAGACTCGTTGGCCAGCGGCGGTCTTGGGATTCGACTATTGGATCGTGTAAATGTCGATTCGGTCGTGTACCCATTCATGGTGCAAAGAACGGCCCGTTTGAAACTCACCGAAAAACCCGCACCAGTGACCGACGTCATGGGGCGCGCGACTTCACCGCCGCCTTGCTGCCCGGTTTGCAAACGTGCCGTGGGCATCATCTGACGGCCCATTTGAGACGGCGGGGCGCGAAATGCTGTCCCTGGAGGGTTGCTTCCACCCGCTTGACCTGTCTGGCCAGACTTGAAGTAGCTCGATTGGTGCATCGACGCCGTTTGTGGAGGTGCTAAATCGATCGAGTAGTTGAAGCCTTCGTACAGATCTTCGTCGTCGTCATCCATCATCGCCGCCTGGTGCTGCTTGCCGCGGTTGTTGTACCCATAGGCGCTCATCGTGCGCTCCTGGGCGTATGCGATGGTTCCCAAACGACGCTTCGAAGATATGGCAATTCACACCGTAACCGTCCACAGCACACAAGACATCGATCGTTTCGCCCTTGATCGAGTTGGAGCGTTCTAGTGGCATATTCGCCTTTGACATGGTGTCGGCGAGTGGGTTCCTTGCCCGGCAACTACAGTGACCTGACGTACTGAACGAACTCGCCAACGAGGCGACACTGGTCGTCGTCGCGGCGTTAGTGTATCGAGCTCAACTGGAATGGAATGCACTTCGCAGTGTCACAAAGCACCAGGACCATGGATTCTCGCTCCATGTTGTCAACCCTCCTTGCCACCAACACAAGAGGTGCGGCCTCGGGAATTGCGTGCATTGCACCCTTCAATATTCGACGCGAGCTCTCCGACCATCGACGGACTGCACTCACCGCTCTGAGCACGGACCGGTATCCATATCTAGACGTGACATTCCTTCGCCCTCTACCTGCAAACGTCACGAGCACGCCTCAACATGGCGCATGCGCACATGAGCCTTGAACCGTCGCGGCGGCGGTGGGAAAAACGGCCTGCGCCTCTCGTATCCGGACATGATCGTTGCAGCATCCGGACAAGTATGATCATCCGCCCAGTCGACGACAACAGCGCCGCCTCCATCGACCTGGGCGGCGCGGCGACTGTGCGGGCCGTGTGGATCGTGTCGACGATATGTGGGGTCGTGCTGCTTCTCGTGGGTGTTTCGTCGGCTCTGTCGCCGTCGCCGTCGATTAGTCTTGTGCTACCTCGACTCGTCTTGGCTCGGACAACTCAAGGCGTGGGGGACACGGCGTGGGGGACACGGTGGCGCTTGCGAACCTTGTCGTGGGTTACCTCTTTGCGGGCTTTTGGATTCATTGCCGTGAACGAACGGTGTCTCTATGGACGAAGTTGGTGGGGTGGAGTGTTGCTGTCGTGTGCGTCGGGAACTTGGCCCTCGTGGCGTACGTATTGCACGCCGTCATGGACTGTGACGGCGACTGGTCCGTGTTTTGGCTTGGGCGGCGGTCTGCGCGCTCCAGGCACTCCCCCATCCCAGCGTTCGATCCTAACGTGTAAAGATCTTGAATAACACACAACACCCTTCCCATCCATCCATCTCGTCCCTTTCGGTGGCCGGTCGTCGTCCGCGATTTGTAACCGATGTCTGTTTCATCATGGCCATGGGCGGTTTCGCCGTCCTACCACGTCAAGCGTCGTTTATCACGAACGGTCGACCTCCGCGCGGGCCACCGCCGCCGCTTCCAGCCGTCGTCGTCGTCCTTCCTGCATGCACCCCGAGCTATCGACAGCCGCCGCCGCCGCCACCAAGTAGCTGCGCCTCTCCCCGTGACCATGTCGAAGATTGCGCCGAGGCCTTCTATCGCGCGCAAAGCGAGCATCGAGCAGAAAGTGGTTGACAAAGTGCTCGATCGAGTCACAGCGCTCGGACCCGTGCCGGTGCGGAGCAAGAGCCCGACCCCGCTCATGTCCCAAGGCAGTCGCGGCGGAACTGCACACAACCTGCGCCGCCACACAGCGTTTCGGCCTGTGGAGCCGCCCAAGCGGCCCTCCGCGGTGGCAGATGCAAAAGACTCGATGGACGAAAAGGTCCGGCGATCGTCGATGGGGCTGGCGACCGCTTTGTTCTACCCGCAGTCCGCCGCCGACCGCAACGAGTCGTCGATGATCACCAAGCTCATGGAGGAAAAGTACGGCTTCAACTACCTGACCAACGAGTTTTCAGCCAACTTTCTCGTTGAGTGCGAGTATCAAAACTACTACACGCAGATCAACCTGACGTCGGCATGCAACTTTAGCCTGTTCTTGTGGCTCATCTGGGTCGCGTCGACAGGGCTGGATTTGTACTTGCTCGTAAACGCGGACGATGGCCAAGAGGACGCGATCCAGTCGGCGCGGCGAAGCGTGTACTTTTCGCTGCCATTCCTCGTGCCGACGCCGTTTCTGGTCGCGTTGTGCCGGTACAAGCAGTACGAGCAGCACATGCAGTCGATTTTCAACGTGATCGTGCACTGCTTTGCGCTGTCGCTGATGGGCGGCGGGTTCTTTTGCACGACGGACCAAATGAAAGAGTTTACGTCGAAGAACATGAACCTGATCATGGAGTACGCGATCGGGATGAACACTGTCGCGAACGCCGCGATCGGGTTCGTCGCCAACACGACCGTCGCGTCCATGGTGCCCGGCGGGGACCCGTCCGTCGTTGTGCACATGGCCGACCAGTCGCTCCATTTTGCGCTGCAAACAGCCACAGGGGGCGTCGCCTTCCTCCAAAACCTGTCGTACCCGGCGCTCGGCGGCTCGCCTGGCGCCACCATCGTCCTTGCCAACCTTGTCTTGAACGGCACCCAAAAATTCAACCTGAACAACAGCACGACGTGGTGGCGGTTCCCCAACCGGCATGGCACCTTGGCCGAGATCTTGACCTACTTTATCCTGGACGTGATGCTACCGTTCTCGCAACTCAACTCGAATTTGGTCCGGCCGATTGTGGTCCTGATCGCTGCTCCCATGTTTCACCTGAACGCGGCGCACTACATCGTGGTCGCGTTCAACGTGAACCTGTTCTACTGCATCGTGCTCTCGATGACGTACCCCGTGTCGAGCTCGAGTTTTCTCATGCGGTGCAAATTTTACCTCGTGTTTGTGTTGGCGACGCTGACCGTGATCATGGTGTACCGGGCGCGGCAGAGCGACAGGTACACACCCACCGACGACAGCACAAGTCGGGCATGGTGGCGCGCATGCGCCGAGTTGGCACTTGTCGAGATGACTGTGTGGACTGCGTAGGTTTATGCGGCTCAACTATTTGAACGTGCGGTCCGTGAAAGAAGAAGTGCGCATCACGCAAGCGCAAAAAGAGCAAATTCAAAACGAGAACCGATCGCTCAAACGCATGCTGCAGGCGCATAACGCAGGCACGAACGACATGGTACGATAAGGATGTCGACGCGGTCGTCCGCCGACGTGTGCGTGTCGTTGTAGCTCGATTTGGACTCGCCCATGGCCAAAGTCATCACGGACCTGACCAAGATCCAGCAAAACACGGCGCTCGACAAGAGTCTCCAGGCCAACTTGAGCGAAATCGTGACGCTGTTGACGAAACAAGGCCACAACTTGTTCGCCCCCGACATCCACGAACAGCTCAAGTACACTCGCTCTCGCGTATTGATGTTGTCTGAGGCGTCTTGCAGGGGCAAAAGCGGCGACGTCGACATTGATGACGATACCAAGGGGTGGGCGACCACAGTGCTCGCGAGCAAATCGTACCAGCGCAACAACAACCGTCGGTCGTCGACTCAAGTCGATGAAGAGACCGAGGGCGTGATGGCATCGATCAACCTCCACTCGGACGTGCGGCCGCCGGACGAGGACGTCCTGTCCAAGATTAACGCCATGATGATCGCGTACGGGTGGAACGTCGACATGCACGAGTACGTCCTCACGTCGGCGGCAGCGCAGACGTCTCATGGCGCTGCGGTAGAGTCGCCGAGATGGCCCAAGGCAACCCGATCTCGTACGTGACGTTTGTGATCTTTGAGCGGCACAACTTGTTTACGTCGTGCTCGGTCGAGCGCAACGTGATGCTCAATTTCTTTTGGTTCATCGACGCGGGGTACCTCCCCAACCCTTACGTACGTCTGCGACGTTGCCACAGTGCATGACGGGAAACCATAGCACAACAACTGCCATGCTGCCGACGTCGTCAACTACGTCGAGTTTATGCTGTCGGCGGTCGACGGCGGCTTCATCATGACGCTGCTCAACATGCAGGAAGTGTTTGCGGCCATCGTGGCCGCGGCAATCCATGATTTTCGGCATCCGGTACGTCCATGCGGCGCGTGGTGTGGGGATGTGGATGGCGGGAGGCATCGTGTGTTGGAGTGACTCGTCACGGGATGCTGCTGTGTGGCAGGGCAAATCCAACAACTTTCTCGTCAAGTCCGGGCATAGCCTTGCCGTCAGGTACAGCGATGCGTCCGTGTTGGAGCGCATGCACTTGGCGGAATCGTTTTTCCTCGCGTCCGAGCCGCAGTTCAACCTTTTCAGGTACCATGCGATTTGTTGCAAGCGAGTTGCGGGAACGAGTGCGTGCGACCTCATGCCGATTGGCGTCTAGTGGGATGAAGCCGAAACAGTACACGGAAGTGCGCAAGGCCATCATTGAGATGGTATTGACCACGGACCTGTCGGTGCACTTGCAACTCGTGGGCAGCTTGAAGACCGCGCTGCTGTCGCAAAACAAGAATGACGTGATGGAGTCGCCGATGATGCTGATGAAGGTCATCATCAAGTGTGCCGACATTGGCCACTCGTCAAAGTCGACGCTGCTGCATGCAAGGTGGTCCGAGCTCATCATTGAAGAGTTCTTCCTGCAGGGCGACGAGGAGAAGGAACTCGGGATGGAGATCAGTCCGTTTATGAACCGGGCGTCCGAAAACAGCGCCAAGAATCAAGTCGGGTTCTTTGAGTTTATCATTTTGCCGTTCTTCGACGTTGTCGCGGAGATCTTGTTCACGCCGGGGTTCAAGCCGATCTTGGACCAAGTGCACAGCAACTACAACTTGTGGAAGAAGGCCGAGATGCTCCAGCTCAAGAACATCAAGGACATTTTGGATCAAGTGTTTTGCGTAGACGAACACCGCGTCGGAAGTGCCCAAGTCAACCGTATCAGCTTTGTCCCACGGCCGTCGCATATCGCCTTGCACACAAACCCCAGCGGTACACCCGCAACTCCAGTTGCCCATGCGACGCCACCAAGCTCCCCCACCACCGCTCCACACAGCCCCACCAACTATACGAATGCACTACCACCAAGCTTGGCGCCGACCGTGGAAGAGCCCTCATCAACGCCTCCCCACTTGCCAACGTGATGTTGTCTCAATGGTAGACAATTGAAATCTGTTACATTTTTGAGTTCGTGACTGTTCAAGATACGCCGACGAGACACATGTCGATGTTGGAGGCTGCGACGGTTCATGATATACTCTATCATCTCATTACCTCTGTCAAATGATATTTTAGAATGACGTCGTCCAATGCAAATTTGCGTCGAGATTCCTGTATAAATGAATAACTTTCGGCCACACAACGCAGCAGCAGAAGCATGTCGGTGGACGATCCATGGTATGGGGCGATCTGGGAAGCCGCGAGCCGCAACTTCCAAGAGCTCAACCCAGAAAACCCCACTGTGGTGGACTTGGCGGAGCTCGAGACGCTGTGTGTGCGCATGGGGGTCCGGCTTGCGTCGCACGACCTCACGCAGGGCATGTACGACCTGGACACCTCCGGGGACATGGTTATTCCGTTAGACACATTTTGCATGTGGTGGCTAGCTCGCCTTCGGTCTGAGGAAGCTACGGCAATGGCAGCACTGGCAGCTGAAGCAGCTGCTGCTGCGGGACCACCTCCTGCCCACGTGTGGGAAATCGTCGTCGACGGGACTGCCACGTACTACTACGACCACATCAGCGGCGAGACGAAGTGGGACTTGCACGAGTTCGTGGGCGCCGCTCGTGCGTACTTTGCAACGTTGCAGGACCCCACCATCACCACAGACGATCAAGCGTTAATGCAGTTGTTTGCCAAGCATGACTTGTCCAGTCGCGGCAAGCTCGACGTGGACGAGTGGCGCGGCCTCCTCCTTGGTCTGGGTCTGCCCGGTACGCTTCTGTCGATATCCGACGTTGCAGGTACACATCGTTTTGCGTCGGGCTGCACATTGCTTGGGCTTGTTGATCGACCAGCTCATCTTGTCTCTCAGGGCACATTGAGGAGGACATGACGTTCGAGCATTTGCACGCTTGGTGGTATGCAAATGTTCCCCAGCGCGGTCGCGAGCGGGTCGCCGACTGGACGGAATGGTGGCGCGTCGTCGACGAACACAAAGTCGTGACGTTCTTGAACGAAAGGACGCAAGTGTGTCAGTGGGATGCACCGTCGATTCCGATCGCGCTCGTCGCGCGGCTGGGCCAAGACGTGGACGGCAATGCACGAAGCCCGTCGCTGGACGACAGTTTTCGCCAATGGTTTGTTGCTTTCGATGTCGACGGGGACGGAGTGCTGAATGTGGCCGAGTTTACAACCATGATGGCGGCGTTCGGCCAGGTCAACATGACCGAAGCCGACGGCCAGACCGCCATGACCAAGTGCAATATCCAGTACTGGGGAGACATGGAGAACGCGTCCGCCATGAAGGCCACGATAAGCTTCGACGCAATCGCCAAGACCTGGCGCGCCTGGTACGCCAAGGGACTGCTTGGCGATTGGGAAGAAGCGTCGACGCTGGACGAAGTCGGCAACTCCCGCTTGTACTACTACAACTGGAAAACTCGAGCCACGCAATGGGAGGCGCCGATCGTGACGGGGAAGCTCCAAACGCTCTTGGACCAATTCAGTGCGGGTAAAGACATCGACATAAAGCCGACGCGAGGGCCCATGACCCTGACATAGACCCGACGGTCTCGACGAACGAGCGCATCCGCCGGTTGTTTGTCCAGTACGACACGGACGAGACTGGATCCCTGGATGCAGGGGAGCTCCAGCGCATTTGCGCCGCGCTCGGCCATCGCCTCGATGCCCCTGCGCTAGAATCCATGATGCGAGTGCGAGCTGCTCCACGACCGACGTGATTGCGGTGGGCTCACGTTGGAGTAGGTGCTCGACACGTCGGGCGATGGCGTTGTCAGTCTCGAGGAATTTCAAGCGTGGTGGCATTCGAAGACTCACGTCGACCACGAGTTCGCAGCTTCGGTCGACGAACGATCGCGCACCGACGACATTCGCACCATCGTTGCGACGTACTTGAAACGATCCGTGGACGATCTCGACGCCACGCCGTTCGATTCGAACGTTGTGCCACGGTACATGTCGACCCGTCGGTGCCTCGCCGTGTGATGCGGGGCGTATGTCGAGGGCAGGCTGGTCCAAGCGCTCGGGCGAACGTGTCGTGGGGCAGCGCTGCTGCGAGCGCTCCATGAAATGGATGCAGACGGCACGAGGCTGATCGATCCCCCCGTCTTCGTGGCATGGTACAGCTCAGCGCGATCGCATTCATCGTGCCTCGACACGCTGACGCAGGTACATGCGGTACGACAAGGCTTGCCATGACGCCGAAACCAAAGCCCGCCAAGCCCAACGGGCCCAAGAAGCCATGGATGTCTGGGTCGAGCAAGTCGATGCGAACGGTACTTTGTGCTGCTCTGCTTCGTGCCGAAGAGCACTTGTGGCGTAGGAGACCGCGTCTTTGTCAACACCCGAACAAATGAAACGATGTGGGAAAAGCCCGGGATCGTGGAGCGCATGGCCGCATTGGGAAACGACATCAAGGGGATTTTTCGAGAGTTCGATCGGGACGGGTCCGGTAGGGTAGCCATGGCGAAGACGGGTGGCTTTGATGCGCGCACGTGTAGGCGCCATCGACTCGAAGGAGCTCCAGGCGCTGCTGTCGAAGCTCGGCCAAACCGTAGACGACGCCCAGTTGAGCCGTGTGATGGAAGCGATGGACACAAGCGGCGATGGCCTTGTCACGCTTGACGAACTCACGACGTGGTGGGTGTGCATGCAGCGGCGGTCGATCGGCGCGTCCAACGCGGCGGCGCTGAAAGACCAAGTGATCGATTACCACGCCCTGTCCAAGGACGCCGTCAAGGAGCTGCGCAAGCTATTCAACCAGTTTGACACGGACAACTCGGGTCCGTAGCCCTGGAGTATTCGAGTCAACGATCGCTCACGAATGGGTGGTCAGGATCAATCGACTCGTACGAGCTCAAGCACTTGCTGCATCGGTTGGGGTACAATCCGTCGGACGCCGAGCGCAACAAGCTCATGGACGCCATCGACACGTCGGGCGATGGCCACATCAACGTCGACGAGTTCATTGCGTGGTGGGTGACGGTCCACCGCGCACGGGAAATTCATGCCAAAGCCGCGCAAGATGGCCACCTCTTGGCGACGATTCAAGCGGCATCCGGTGCCACTTCGTCAAAAGCAGTGTACGAACGATATGCTGTCCTTCTTGGCCGTGATCGCCAACAGCAGCAACCAGTCGGCGTTCCCGCTGTTGCAAGTTCTTAGCAGGACGCTCCCCTCACATTCGCTGCCTAGCGCCGCGACAGCCACTCGATTTGACTTGTCGGACGTGAGCGTCACCGCGCTGCGAAACAAGTTGGTCGATTTTCGGTACAACTGGACAAGAGGCCCCGTCATCCTGCCGCCCCCCGACGATGACGTCCCCGTCGACTACGGCGGACTGCGCAAATTCGGCACCGTCGACGTGTCGCACACGCATCCGTCCATTGTGGACGTGATGCGCGCGCTCATCGACGACGTGGTCTTGATCACGCCGTTGATGCTGCCGGACGCAGCCCAGCGGATTCAAAAGATGTTTCGCGCCAAACTCGCGCGGACCAAGCTCGTCCAAGCGCTCAACCAACGGTGCGTGTGTGGTGGCCATCATGCCACGGCCATGGGAACCTGCCGATGGCGTCCGTCCACCGATTCACGACGGGAAATAGCTACGTGCATCACCACGACCCGGCCACTGGCGCTTCGTACTACATGGATCGTGTGACAAAGGAGATTCGATTCTCGAAACCGATGCTCCTCGGCCACCATGACATTCCGAGCCCGCGGTCGCGGCTGCGCGAGAAGCATGCCAACCAAGCCTTGCTGTTCCGGCGCAACTGGATGGTCTCGATCATGCAGTCGACCCGCCAAGTTCAGACGTCGCCGACATTTCGCACGGCGGCTTTTTACGTGTACGCACCACGGCATGCATTGGTGGCACAGCACGGGATCGGGCGCACTCACGGCACGCTCGGCACGTAGGTATCAAATCTTATGCAAAGTCAAAGCGCGGTGGCAGCAAGGCGTGTGGCATGCGCTGGCGGCCAACGACCTCACGCTGGCGCAGCTCGTGGTGAGGCACTACCCCCGCCAGCTGAAAAAGCCCGGCGCGGTATGCTCGATCGATGGCGTCCGTGTCGATCCCAATGGCATTTGTAGTGGGGAGACCTGCCGCTGCATTACGCGATTCGACACCGCTTGGACATGGCAGTCGTCCAGACATTCCTGCTTGGGAACGTCGATGTTGTCACTATGACGAATGCCAGCGGGCACACGCCGCTGCACCTGGCCTGCCGGGACCACCCCACCGACGACCTCGTCCAGCTCTTACTTGATGTGCCCCATGGGACGGAAGCGTGCTCTAGGGGGTGCACCGGCACCCTCCAGACGCCACTGCACGTTGGCGTCCGCCACCGCGCGCCGCTGTCGGTGCTTCGGATGCTCGTCGAAGCAAATAAGTCAGCTCTCACCCAGCGTAACCAGGCGCGCAACACACCGTTCCATGAAGCGCTCACGATGAACTCCCGACCCGACCAACTCGACATGCTGCGGCTGTTTGTTTCGTTCCAGCCGCCTGTGGCGTTGGCCACCATGGCCGTGTTTGAAAGCGCGTTGCCATTGCATATCGTCCTCCAACACAACGCAGACGACGCGATCGTTCGGTACGTCTTGAGTCTGGCGCCAAACGCCATTGCCGTGCCATTTCGCCAGCTCTTGCCGCTCTTTCTCGCCATGAAGTACCGGCGGTGTGAAGGGTTGATCCAAGAGCTTGCCCACGTCACTGTGGCAGCGATTCAGCCAGCGAGGACTGCCGTCCGCACCCCCAAACGCTTCAACCCCGTGCATTACGCCCTCCTCCATGGCTTCACCCCCGACCTCGTTCTGTTTCTGTTGAACTTGTGTCCTGAGTGGGCAAGCGAGGCCACCTACAGCCGCGATTACCCGCTCCACATTGCCGCTGCCACAACGTCCGACTTGAGCGTCGTCAAGAAGCTCTTGCTCGTGGACCCCATGCCTGCCCGCGCCGTCAACGCCGCCGGCCGCATTCCGCTCCATCTCGCTGTGGTAACTACCCAAGCATGTCCGTTGTGAGGTGTCCCATTTGGTGTCGTGAACGTCCAGGAGCGCGGGGACGTCGAAGTCGTCAAGAAATTGCTCCAAGTGTGCCCGTGGTCGCTGCTCGACAAGATCACCGGCACCAAGTACGACGCGTTGATTCTGGCAGCCAAGGCGACAGCGCGCTTTCCGAACGAGCCCGTCGTGGACGCCCTCCTGATGCCGCCCAAGCTTGCGCCGACACGGCCAACGTCGACGCTGCTCGCGCTGACGCCGTACTACGTCGCGGCAACGTCGCAATCGTCCAGATCGATGGCATGCTTTGACAAGCTCCACGTGCTCGACACGTGCACGGCGGACGATTTGGAAGCGATGGCGCGCAAGAAAATGCGCCAGGCGTATCGCAAGCCAACGGACAAGTGGGAATTGCGTCAGATATTGACGCTCATGGCGCTGAACCCTGTCGACAGCGCGATCCAGACGCGGAGCCTGCTTGCGATCAACGACATCGTGCGTGGGTACGACGACGTCGCCCGGGAAGCGTGCCTCGAAACGTATGACATTGTGCGAACTCTGCAGCACACCATGTACGACTTTACGTCGAACCCGCGGATTCAAATCCTTGGCCAAAAGTGCCTCCACCACCTCCTCCCGACCGCGTTTGCCAAGGCCAAGTACCAAAGCCGGATCGACCCGCTGTACAAGTTTTAGCGCGCACGTCATGGCAGCACGTGTTCGCCTTGGACGCGACTCGACTCTGGTGTGCGTTTACGAGATGCCACGACCCGTCGGTCGAGAATTCGCGGCGGGTTTCTAGTGCTTTGACTTGTTGGTTGGCCGTTGTGCATGCGTCTGCCATGATGATGTGTGTCCCAAATAAACCAAAGTGGCCCGTCGTGATGTAGGTTCATCGTCCTTTTCTCGAGTTTGCGCGCATGGCGCTGTCGACATACGCGCGTCGCATTCACAGGATGCTGGGAGATCGAGGGTTGGATCGGCGACAAGCAATAAACCAACGACGGCGCCTCGGAACATCGTGGCGGCACAGCCAAGTTCACGACGACGTAGCACGTGGTAAAGGATCGTGTTGGGATGTGGGTTCGACGGTCGCTAGACGAGTTTTTTTGCTTGCGCCATGTCGACGAAACTGAGCCGACACGCGCCAAAGAGCCGCTCGGGCAGTTCATGGCTCTGTTTGCCTTCGATGAGAAAGCTCATGTCGACGATGAGCTTCTTCGTAAAGCCGAGGACGAGGCCGGTGACGCGGTTCGCGACCGCGCTGCTCGTCACGTCAATGTCGAGCTCAAAATACGACGGCGTTTTGAAGTATGGCTGGCGCAGCTTGTTTCCAATCACGGCGGGCGTCGACCCGACCGCTTGCTTGACGATAAAGTTGCCTTCCACGATGGACGGGATCAGCTTGAATCGGTCGTTGCGGTACTCGTCCGTCCTAGCCATCCATTGCTTCTTCACACGACCACCACACACTGCAAACCGCGCGATCGCATGACGTACCCGTCGAGAAAGTCCGTCATGAGCTCGGCAAACGGCGACCCGTCCGCAACGACACTGGGATGTGGAACGTGGAAATACAGCACCAACGAGTACTTGGGCGGTCCCGGCATGAGAAAGTTGAGCACGAATGCGTAAGGTTGGTTCGGCACGGTCTGCATCACGTTGTCCGGGCGCGAGCAAATGTGCTCCATTGTGACGTTGCCAGTATCGAAGAGATCCACGCCGACGAGGCGGAAGGCCGGCGCGGCCGATGCCACCTTTTTTCGATCGGCCATGTAGTTGGGTCCGCGCACCTACGACCGTGCCACACAGCTCGACATCGTTGAACAGCCATCGACACGTACCATGGTAAACCCGACGGGGGGTTCGCTCCACACATGGCGTGGCACGGACGTCGGTAGCACCATCGGCGGTGCCATGTCGATGTGCTTTCCAATCGACGCTATGCCGTTGGCAACCCCCGCGCTGTCGTCGACGTCGTCCATGTCGTCCGTCGCCGAGTCATTCTCCTGCGCGAGGGCCATGTACTTGCGCGCTTCCATCGTTTCCTCGAGACCAATAAGCGCCAGCAATTGCGGCTGAATGTACTGGAACACGAGGTGCATGCGCCGCAACCACGCGCCAAACACCCTGGTCAAAGTCCGTGAGCTGCAGTCCACCAACCTGCCACCTAGTCCCGATTTCATCCAGCAGCAGCATGCCACTCGCCATCTCGCATCAAGCACACCACGACATCGAAAGCCCTCACAACCGCCAAGCACGCCATGCCTGGACAAACAACATCGCCACATCTACGAGCCGCCAAGATCGTACCCCTGCGGATTCGCATGGACGACCATGCTGACCAGAGACGTGTCCAATTCGTCCGGGCCAGGTGCCGTCGGCGTCGCGGAACATCGCGGGGATACGGTGACGCCGCCACCTACAACCATCCAGCGCATGACGTCCCACGACCCCGCCGATCCATATCAAGCCACGACAGCCACCAAGCCACGTCAGTGGAGACGCAGGTGCTGCACAACTTACCTTGGCACAGCACGCGAACGTGGTCGGTGACGGGGCATTCGGCATGGACGGCACTTTGAACACACAACACGAACGATCCGTCTTCGGTCTCGCGCCAGTACCGCAGCAAACATGCATCGCTGGCTGGCAGCCATCTATATCAACCATGAGGTGGTTCGAAACCCAGTTCTCACGCACAACGGCCATAGCCACACGGGCTTGTATACGACGTGGATAATGTCCGAGTGCGAGTCAATCGTTTGGAGCACGCGAATCGAATCGATCGATCCGTCCCACCTAGTCCATCAAGTAACCATGGGTGGCGTTGGTCGGTGGCCGACGTACATGCACCGCATGGACGTATCCAGGACGAGCCGAAACACCTCCAAGGGGGTCCCAGGCACGACTCGCGACGCCTTGAAACTCGGGACGTCTTCGTCGACGTCGACCGACCGAAGCCAAAGCGTCAAGACTGCCGCGGCAGACGCAAACGTGAACGAGGCCGTCAACGACGTTCCCCCGATTCCGCCTGCGCCACCAGTACACGTGTCAGCGTATGCTAGATCACTGGGAACAATGGTAACGCACCTGCAATGAACGCAATCAGGGCAACGGAAATGGCAGAGACAAAGAGACTGTTCAGCTGCTGCCAACTCTGCCACTCTCGTTTGTGCTGCGACGTTGTGTCACTGCCAGCACATTGTTTGGCAACCGCGCGTTGCTCCGAGTGGATTGTCATGCCTCCAACCACGCTGCATACGTCGTACGTGCCACGAAACATTGGCCATTTCCGGTCCATTTTCGCCAAGAGGACGCGGCGACCGACATCTTGTTGCTGCAGGTCGAACGACGACGTAGACTGGCCAAGATGCAGGGGTTCGCGGCGCAACGAAGCTCCCGCCGAAGCTGACGTGGGACTGCGCACACCGTGATGGTCGCTTGATCCGTCCGAGTTGTCAATCGCTTGAATGATCGCGCTGCGCCACGACGTTGCGTACTCTCGGCTCTCGCACCCGACTGTGAGCCCCGCGGGTTGATTCGGATGGCCATGGTGATCTTTGGGCGCTGCATGCAAAAAGAAGATGGAGAAGCAGTACAACGACTTGGACGTGTGCTTTTTCTTGAGCTCAATCGCAGACACATGCGCATCCGTCGTGAGCTCGATGATGCCACGAGTCTGCAAATCGCCAGCCTTGGAGAAGTAGGCCAGCGTCGAATCCTTGAGCACAAAGTACCGCTCATGCCAAGAGCTGACGAGGGTCTTTCCCCGCTTCCACAGCACGCCCTCCATGATTCTCCCGCGTCGACAAGCGATGAGCGTGGCGTGAGGATGCACGAAACTCTTTGAATTGGCGACATCCGGATAATCACCAAGTATCCGAAAAGGAGGGATACAGCACGACGGAGAATAACCACGGTTATGCTGGTCAGTCCTGTACTCATGCAAGTCTCGGCTCTTCGCGACAATCATGGCAAACGTGCACTTCCTTCCGCCCTACCTATGCACTGAGGTACTCCATTAACGGCGAGGCAACTTGCTGAAAACATCATCGAAGCGATGTGTAGTTGAATAGACTTGATCGCGTCGTCAATCGAGCTCAACTGTACATCAACCCATCCGCTTCATCTCGAGCGTAGCGCCATGACGTGCCTACGGGTTACGCTTCTCCAAGAGCAGTGAAGTCAACTATGTTCGTCGTGCCCGCTTCCTCTGAAATGCTGCTCTTCTCCGGAACCTGTGCGATGCTTGTCGATTCAGTGACGTGGCAAAATGAGGGACAAGTACTCTCGGAAGTAAGTCCTTGACGAAAATTCGTACTTTATTGTGATGGTTTTGCACATCGAGGGGTTCGTACTTAATCCGACTTCTAGAAAATCCACACGGTATCCTCAGTTTAAAATCTTTGTCGAGACGACAGATGCGCCGATCGCACCGCGGCTTTGCGGGATGGGTGCTTGCCGTCCTCCTGGCTATGATCATGCTTAGGGGGTCCAGTGCCCATGAGCCTTCCACGTCGACTTGGACGCACGAGCATGTGCATGAATTATCGACGATTGCACAAACGCGCGCGTCCGAGATGGAGACGTCCAAAAAGCTGTGGATCGTCCTGTATGGAAATCGAGACGACCCAATTCTGTCCGTGTTGAACCAGGTCGGGGGCGAGTTGTCGTATGCGGTGTCGTTTGCATGGATTTCTGCAGACGTTGCACAGTCGTTTGGGCTCCAAGCAGCAAAACCCCCGATTTTAATCACGTTTCGCGACGAGCCCAAGTGGAATCCGTACCAAGAAAGAATGTATCGAACCCTCGAGCTCGTGCACCAGTTTCCATCACAACTCGATGCACGCGCGTTGAAAAAGATTGTTCGAGACAAGGCACCGTCCGCGGTTCAGACGTCCTGGCCAGACAAAGATGACGACGCTGCTTGGCTGCCCACGGCAGGTGCCGCCACTCCCTTCGCTTCGACGAGCAATTCGCCGCCACGAGTTGTGCTTGTGACAAAGAAGTCCACCCCTTCATTGCTATACAAATCCCTGTCGATCGAGTTTCCATCGCTGAAGTTCTTCTCGTTACCAGACTCTCCGGAAGTTCTCGAACAATTTCACGTATCGTCCGTGCCATCGCTTCTCGTGGGCTTGTCGTTGTCTCAGCTTACCTCCTTCAAAGAGAGTGACGGAGACGTGACCAACTTTGACGACCTCTGCCAATTTCTTCGCCCACACGTGCCTACGACAACCACCGACGTCCAGTCAACATCTTCGTCGTTGTGGTTCACTCGCGACGACCTCGACGTGGCGATCCGAAACTCGTCCCACGCAGCCTGGCTGGTTGTTGTCCAGTCTAAGACATCCCCCAATATCGTCGATCCGTCGAATGACGATTGGAAGCAAACCGTCATCGACTTGCGCAGCAAGGTCGGCCTAGACTTGATCCGCGTCGCCATGGTGAATGATGCTTCCCCAACTGCGGCCGGAATCTACTCTGTACGTTATGGTCCGTCCACTGCGATGGTGAAAGCGCCGTTGACGTCGTCGGTCGAGACCGTGGTGAAGCACCTCATCGAGAGCTTGCCAGACTCGACGTCTGCGTTGTACGGTCCGTCCGACATTCAAGCGTTCTTTGGTCGCATGTTGTCGAAATCGGATACAGTCAGCTTCGTCCTGTTCACGTCCAAGAAGGATACGCCACTTCTTGTCCAGGCCATTGCCCTCACGTTTCCAACTCACGTTCAAGTCGGCGTGGTTTTCAACCCTGATCAAGACACCAAGAAGCAATTTGGCCTTGGCAAACTACCAGCCATGGTGGCTGTGATGTCCCCACGAGACCCTTCTGTTCCGCGCGAGCAATTCTCCATGACGTTTTACGACAAACAGCTCTTGGGACCTCCGACGTTTGAGAATGTGCATCGGTTCGTCGATCACGTCGTCCAAGCGTACGTTCCAAAACAAGGAGACCCGAACGAACACAGCGCCGACACCGCCACCACCGCCACGGTGCATTCGGTCACGACCCAGTCCGAGTTTACCAATGCTTGCACGTCACTGTGTGTGATTGGTTTGACGCATGGCGCCGACGACATCGCGACACAGACCGTGTTGAAGGACGTAGCTGTCCAAAGTGCCGCCAAGAAACACCCGCTCCAGTATGTGGCTGTGGACGCGGTATGCCAGCCAGAGTTTGCATCTGTGTTGGGCGCCGAATCGTGGCAGATTCCGGCAATTGTCATGTATTCCCCTGGCAAGCGGCGGTATGTGCGCCACGTTGGCGGTCTCGACGCAGACGCCACACTCGCATTTGTGCAGAGTGTGCTAGCCGGCAAGACAGGAACGGCGCCATTGTCGACGGCGCCGACGTTGGCTACCGAATGCGCCGCGGTGGTCAATGACGTCACCGACGCGCCAGTGATTGACGACGATGACGATGGCGAAATGGAGGCCATGATGCGGGAAATTCGTGAAGAAGAGCAACGTCAAGCAGAAATGCGGAAACGACAGCTCAAAGAAGAAATGGAAGCGCGGAAGGCCGCGGAGGACAAAGCAAAAGCCGACGAAGCGGCGAAAGTGACCGAAAAGAAGCCAGCCAAGAAATCCACGAAGAAGAAAAAGAAGACTGTGAAACCAAGGCCCAAGGACGAGCTGTGATCAATCCGCGTCGGCCGGCGATTTAAAGGGAAACATGCCGTCAAAATCCTGTCGTGTTGTGCCGTGTTCAGCTGGCGGTGTTCGACGAGCTATGCAACTCGTCCTGCCACCAAAAGATGGGCCATTCATGGCACAGCCGTCACTGACTCAGCCACATGGATGCTGCGCGAGTGTAAAGGAGCGTGTCTACTATGCATGACGAAGGGTGGACGCATTGGCACGAGTATCGACCGTAGGCAGCGCATGCGGCAGATGGCGTTCCATACCAACACACGTCGGCGAGTTCATGAACCGAGTTTCGCTCTCTCCTTGCATTCGGCGGTCGCCCGACTTGATGTGGTGGACTCGACGGAGACGGGAGCTTCAGCAGCTAACGTGTGGAGGATCGCATCGGTGCTGAAAAACGTAATTGTGTCGGCGACACGCGTGAGTTGCCTGAGTTATACATTTCATGGCATGAGTGCGCGAGAAGCATGCACATCGAGAGAATTAGCTGCGTTACCAGCTATCCGATATCCATGCCGCGCCGCACGATTCAGTTGCTTGACGAAGCGTACTGTTATCCATGGAGCGTCGCGCGGCTGCGGGTCTTGTCGGATGCGGGGAGGAGCTTGAAGTGGATGCGACGGGCCTCCAGGAACTTGACGACGGCAGGTTGATGGTTCAGCACTGCTAAATCCAACGCGGTGTGGCCGTCGAATGTGACTGCCGACGCGTCGCTGCCTGCAACATCAAGCAGCCACGCGACTGCATCCACGGAGCCACCGTGCGATGCACAATGCAATGGAGTTCGTCCCATGCCGTCGATAGCGTGCATGTCAGCGTTACCGACATTGCGAAGCAGCTCAAGAAGGCATGTTGACCCGTTTAATGCGGCAAAATGGACCGGTCGGCGCTTGAAACGACGACGCTCGACGCGATTCGCGTCAGCTCCTGCTGCGAGAAGCACGGCCGCGACATCGTTGCTGCCGGTATCGCACGCCCAATGCAATGCCGTGAGAGTATATTGATCCTCTTCGTCGACATCGTGCGTTGCTAGTAGGTCGCGCAGCGCGGCCACGTCATTCTCCCGCCCGGCATCGTGCATCGGGTTCACATTTGCTTCCAGGTGGAGCGCGTCCATCGTTTCGTTTTGTCGTTGAAGAGAATCTGCGAAATGACATGATTGGCGGGATTCATTTCGATTTTGTCCAATCCGATTTTAAAAAGAATTCCTTGAAAAAGCACAAAGCGAGACGTCTGGCACGATGGCGGCGTAGTCTGCACAAGCTACCCTCTGTCGCCAAGGTGCCCCACGGCGCACTCACGGTGTGGCGATATCTGTGCATGTGGCTTCATGTAGGAACGTACCCCGTGTACACCGAGTTTGTGCAATTTGAGCAGTTGATGGTCAACCCGATTCACACGGGGTTGCGGCGCCACTCCGCCATCTCACCAAGAACAACAACACACAGTGTTGGCGTTTGAAAGTCGGCAAACGATCGTGTCAAAACCCTTGTCTGGGTGTTCGGCGTGCTCGACTTCTTTGTGGCGCTCGAATGGCCTTTGACGCGGTCTAGCGTGACCGGCTACCATAGTCGTGCGTTGGACTTCTTGTCGTCGGCGTTGGCAGGTCCTAACAGATCCGATGGGATCCTGTACGCTTCGACTTGTTTTGCATCGAGTGGTGCCGTCCCCGACGCCAGCACGACGTGGGGTGCCGAGGGGAGCCCCCGCGAACCAACGCGCATGGATTCACACCGACCCCAGTATATTTATACATATTATATATAATATATATCTTATATATATTATATTCATATATATTATATATACAATATATAAATATATCCATATTATTGTCGACAATTGTCTTCAAGAATTATCGATGGACGTTGCCTCGTCGACGTTTGAAAGAGGTCGTTCACCAGTACAATCGGCGCTGCTGTTCTTGGATGCCCCAGTTGCATCGAATCATTTGGACGTTGTCGCCAATCCCGTTGGTCTGGAGGCACCACCCCGTGTGCACCGCGTGCTCAAAGAGCTGGAGGCTGTTGTGCAAGCTATATCGCCACCACTGGTTGCGGTTGCCGAACTCGCAGGTCCATTGATGCACCTTGAGCTCGTCGCGTTGCCAGTACGCGTCGAGGCATGTTCCGTCCGTGTAATAGTAGAGCCCGACGTTGCCGAATTCCATGTCGACGCGCTTCCACACGGGCCAGCGGCCTTGGTACCACGGAAACGTCACGGTGCGGGAGTTCTCGGCCCCCAAAAAGTACGATTGGGGCAGCGTCGCGGACGTGTGGATGTCGTTTCCAATGTAGAAGCAGACATTCGCGGCATGACAATCGTCCATTTGATTGTTTGGCATGTCGACGTTGAAGGACGGGAATTGCCTCCGCCAGCATTCGTACGTGGAATTGGATCCGTTCGAGTACACGATCGTGGGTTCGTCCAAGCAGGCGGGCCGCGTGTGGTTGAGGGAGGCACGGGCCTCCGCACCGCGATCGATGGACGGCAAGTGGACGATGCCAGCGGCTCGATCGAACGACGACGACGCGTGGACAACGGCGACGGCGGATGTGAACTTCATGATGAATGGAGAAATGGCATGATGCAACGACGACTCTGCCTCCAACCCATCCTCGAGTACGCCGACTCTTCCCCGGACCTGTCAAGGCGTGCAGTGGGTTTGAATGTCGTCAAAAGAGCCAGCTTCCATGCCGCCATGCCGTGTCCTTTTTCTGGACCTGGGATGCTCGCGCCAGCGGCGAGTCATCTGGTCTACAAGACGGGCCAACAAGTTCAGCCTCCACTTGCAGCACCGTCGCACGCGCCTGCCCATGACGCTCGCGGTGGCGGCCCTCTCGATGGATGTTTACTGGCCAACTGGACGTCGCTTTCGTCAGGCGTACGCAGTTCAGACTGGATCCAGCGTTTTACCTTTTACAAGTACCTCAATCGAAAAAGCTTTGTGGATATCGACCCATTCCGTGCTATTTCGACCAATATCGCGATATTCTGAATTATGTCTGGCCGTCACCCTCGTATGTACGCTACGGGTACAACAGTAAAGTGTTGAAAACCAACAAGACATGACCTTGCATGTACTGCGCAACCAGGCTGGCCCAAAGAATATTGGATCGCATAGTTTGGAGGATGAATGATTCATGTCCCCTCCACATCGTCATTCAGCGACCATACGTGTCGCCAATGCACGTGATGCATGTCGTTGGAGCACGCTGCACGATATGTCCGCTCTTCATTCAGTCTCACGAAGAAGCGCACCCGCGCTGAAGCGAGCTCGCTGTATCCGGATGAGTTGCCGTTGAATAATTCTGACGACGTGTAGAAAATGTAATTTTCTACGCCAATTCGTGACCGCGTCGGTGGGTGTAATACTGATAGGTTGCGCACGCGCGGGGCCGCGCCACCACGTTGCTGGTGGGAGAATTCCTTGGGGCGGCCAGGCCACGTGCCTGGAATCCCCTTCCCACGGACGCGGTGGCCTCCAGGGTTAGCACCAACATAGAACACTTGCACGCCCAACTCGATGGCCAGCGATACACGATTCCGAGCGCGAACCTTCGATGGCTAGGACGTTTGTGTGCATGGAGAGTTCGATGCAGTTGGTGAAGAAATCAGGGTTTCTTCTTGCCCATGCACCCAAAAACGCCTCGGCGTCGGCTGGACAAGGGAATACTCCATGGATTCCTTTCACGCTTTGCCGCGGCGGCGGCCTTGTATACACTCGGACCGTTGTTATTGAATGGATATGCATCGGGGGAGTCGTCTTCCTCGCTTTACGAACATCATTCGACAGACACCTCAACTCGATTCGTCGTCGGAATCGTCAAAGATCGACGTTGACTGCGGTGGTTGCTGCGATGGCGAGATCACCTTGAGCGGTAGTGTCTCGGTGGCTTCAATGTCCAAGTATGTGGTCGAGAACACGCGAACTTCGACTTTGAAGTTGCCTACATCGACAGCATCAGCGCCACTACTGTCCAACTTGTCGAGACGAACCCGTGGTGGAAGGGGCCCAAAACCCGAGTGCATCCGACACTTCGTGGCCGTCCTTGGCGTCCTCAATCTTCCACGCGCCCAGCAATGCGTGCGAGTTCACGTCCTTCGCGACAACCCACAGATGCTCCTTCCGGTACAAGTACGACTTGTCGATCTTATCGTAGACCGTCAACGACGGCGGCGCTGGAGTGGCCATAGTCGGCACGTGCTGCCTCGTGCACGTGACTCGCAGAGTGACCCAGTCCTTGGGAAACACGTCTGTTTCGCCATCCACTGTCAACGATGCGTCGGTCAGCGTCAGTTGTGGCACCTGCATGGCGAATGGGGGAGTGGAGTCGGGAGCACTAGCGAAAGGTACCTTGGAACCGCCGGGGAAGCGGCCGCGTTGCACGGCCACCGCGGCCGCGTCGGCCACGAGCGACCCCTGCGCGAGGGACGGGTACAAGCGCAGAGCGTTCACAATCGTTGCGGCGTCGGATCGCTTGTCCGATACGTTCTTGGTCGAGAGGTCGACAAACAACTACAAATATATCCAGGCATGCGTGAATACTCGTCAAATTCGTGGGCCACATGTGCAGAGCGGCACGATGCAGTTCATCAAGTAGACTGGTCGTACATCCAGTAGATACGGCAGCTGCAGCGCAATGTCTTTTGCTCGGGGGGGCACTAGCAAAAACTCCGTCAGTCTCCGTCGATATGGACGGTCGAGACGGATAATAGCCGTGGCAACGAGCTCGTACAGATGCAGGGGACGGTGAGGTCCTTGGCCGCTTGCACTTTGGCTTGGTTCAGGTGGTAGTACAGCGCAATCACGTCACGTTGAATATGGTCTTGGTCGATGCGGGCGATGTCGCGGTGTTCGATCGCCGAAATGACCTTGTTCGCTTCCAGCGCCACCAAAAACGCCTTCATGTCGTCGTCCATTTCGTAGAGGGACCCGCCGCCGCCACAGCAGTTCTATGGCAAGATTGTCAGCACCATGACAGGAATCACGGGGCGAAACGTACTCCGGCCGCCTTCTCCTCCAACGGCTGCTTGACGCCCGTCACGATGCGAGTCAAGATCTCGAACGTCGACATCTTGTCATGCCACCCCGCCATAATGCGCTCGACCAACTCTGGGTTGATTTCCGGCTTGTAGCGGTCCCCGGTAAAGAGCGCCATGAGGATGCCTACACCCAACATCGTGCCGTAAACGACAGCGATGACGGTCAAGCCCGTGGTGCCGCTCATCTAACCATATAAAGAAGATGATTGACGCATTGTTCAAGCTTTGGTGGCTCCTTGAGCAATCGTCAGGTCGTGCCACGCTCGTAACAACTTGTCAAAGGAGGTCTCCCTACCGCTTTGAAGTCCACGAGATGGAACGACTTTCCATCGGGGTGGCCATACTTCTTGTAGTTCGCAATGCCTGTGGGGTCTGTGAGTGCTTCGTACGCCTTGGCCACTCGTGCAAACTTGGACGCGGCCAAGGGATCGCGAGACTTGTCTGGATGGCTACAGCACGAAAAAACGTGAGTTCTTGCACGACGGGACGAAAGTACAGTTGCTGGCTGAGGGCTCGATATGCCTTTCGGATCGACTTCTTGGTGGAATACCCTGGTATGTTGAGGATCTCGTAGGGGTCGAATGCAATCATGTCGCTGGTTTGGATCGCTTCGACCAGTTGCCACACCAAGAAGAACGAGAGGACGAGCACGACGAAGTTCAGGACGAAGAACTTGGTGAGACAGCTCTTAGGGTCAACAAATACACGCCGCACAACGAAGAACGTGGACGGCACCGCATACAGCGCCAGCAGCACCAGCGTGAACGTCAGCTCTTCCGGTGACATCGCGCGATTCAAAGCTGTTCTGATACCGACATGCCAAAGAGCGATGGTGAATCGTTTTGATTGGCTATAATACATGAATTTCCACCAATCCGAGTGGTCATCTCCATGGCGACAGCAGTCGACATGCCATTGGTCAATGCATTCCACCAATCATACGACGACGTTGATGTTTCCATGAAGCGGTGCGCCGTCAGGAAAAACAACCCCAGGCGACAGTGGCCATGGTTGAACGGGCTCGCCGCGCAAGCGGTGCTCGCATCGATACAATGCACCGCCAAAGACATTGTCGCGGTCGCCAGTATAAGCCCTCTGCATTTACGTCGGTTTTGTTTGTGTTGTGTTGTGTTGGCAAACTCGTTCGACACATCTACTCGCACAGGACTTACACAGCACAGCAACACCACCGCATGACACGGATGGGCATTGTGCTGCGCCATATCGTGATCAGAGCTTCCAACGACGCGGTGTTTCATGGATGGTTTGAGTTCACTGGGCAAGGATAAATACTCATTGCGGTCACGACGTCGCACTGCACAATTCGTGCGTGGGTGAAGTGGGCAACACAGGCCACGCCTCGGATGGCAGTCTCCCGTGTCGAATTGCGCGATGCACCACCAACAATTCGCCTCAGCTCGACGAGTTTTGTTCGTCGATCGTCTATCCGATTCATGTCGAGGCATCGCTTTGTCCAAACTGCCCAAAGTCGTCGAGGTCTCCAAACCGACGTCTTTTGGAAATGGTCCGGGATGTGATCATGGAGCGAAGCGTCACTCGATGGACTTCAAAGTTGTGCACAGCACAGAGAATGTCGTGGTCTAACCAGGTAGACAACACAATGGGACCAGACAGTGACAAGAGGCGCCACGTCTGGCGATCCGAGTCTTCGCTGTCACCTCGACCGTTGGAAGCAAGATGGAGGCGTGTACAATCATACTTTAGGTGGAGAACTCTTTCAACCACCGATCGTTTGCATGGTAGGATGTGCTAAGTTTAGATTCGTCATCGTGGTCGGTTCACTTGCGGAATTGATTAGCATCGTTGCGATCATGGTTGTCAGTGGTAGCCCGCTTGCCAACGCCACGGTCGCGCTCACGGTAAACGGTGCTGTGGTCACGATGACGTGGCAAGAGCTAGGGAAAGCCCTGGCCCAGTCACCTGCTGACGCGACGACCGCCGGCGCGCTGGATCTGTTCTGGCTGCTCTTTGGCGGCATGATGATCTTCTTCATGATCTTGGGCTTCGCCCTGCTCGAAGTCGGATGTTGCCACGTGAAGAACACCAAGCACATCTTGTTTCGAAATCTCATGGACTTGTGCATCACGGGCATCACGTTTTACGCCGTCGGGTACGGCTTGGCCTTTTCCGACGGCGATGGCTTCATCGGGCACTCTCGCTTCTTCCTCCAAGGCCAAGACGCATTCCAAACGGACGACGCTTTGACGTTCCATGGTCACCATTACGCCGACTGGTTCTTCCAGTGGACTGTCGCCGCCGTCTGCGTCACTATCTTCTCGGGTGCAGTCGCCGAACGCATCACGATGCAAGCGTACTTTTTGTACTCGTTCCTCATGGGCGCATTCTTTTATCCGGTCGCGGCGCACTGGATTTGGTCTCCCACGGGCTGGGCAAGCGTTCTCGCCCCCACGTCGTCGCTCCTGTTTGGCGTTGGCGCCATCGACTTTGCCGGTTGCGGTTGCATCCACATGATCGGGGGCATGTCGGCTTTGGTCGGGTGCCTCGTCGTCGGGCCGCGCGCTGGGCGCTTCAACGCGGACGGCACTGCGAACGAAATGCCGAAACAATCCGTCATGTTTCAGTGCATGGGAACGCTGGTGCTCTGGTTTGGCTGGTACGGGTTCAACTGCGTGTCGACGCTTAGCCTGACTGGCACGATGGGCCACGTCATGGCCAAGGTTGCAGTCAACTTGACGTTGGCTGCGTGCACCGGGGGGGTTTTGACCGTCTTGCTCGACAAACTCGCTGGTTCCAGGACATGGGATCCGTGCATGGGAAATAATGGAATCTTGGCGGGATGCGTCTCCATCACGGGGAGCTGCTCGGTCATCGAGCCAGAAGGCGCGGTGGCCCTGGGAGCGATCGCCGCCGTGCTTTACCTGTCCTTGTCCAAGCTCGTGGTAAAGTTGCGCATCGATGACGTCGTCGACGCTATTCCAGTCCATTTGGGCTGTGGGACGTTGGGCGCCGTTGCTCCCGGTTTCTTTGCTTCGTCGAAAGGGGTCGCGATGTATGTGGGAACAGGTTCGTGCGGAGTGTTCTACCGCTGCAATGGACTGCATGGCAGCCAACTGGCCGCCCAAGTCGTGTACGTATTGGCCATCGCGGGATGGGTCGGAACCTTTTGCGCGGTACTCTTTCTCACACTCAAGAAGCTCAAGATGCTCCGTCCAGATGCTGCCACGGAAGTCCTTGGCTTGGATGTTGTCGAACATGGGGGACCAGCTTACGATGATGGCCGTGAATGCCACACGACGCACTCGGAGGTTCAACCTGCCACCTCTGCGTCGGGCAATGCCTCAACCCACACAAAATCTCGTGAAATTGACCATGGTGACCAATGCCATCACGAAATGCGAGCTCCAAGCACAGCCGCGGGGAAGCAGAACGACGACACAATCCACATCGAAGTCGAGCGCGGAGGCGACGACCTCCTGCCAGGGTCGCCCTCGACCTGAATCAACAAAGCCGTTGTGTCCTCGGTGCTTGCACATGCTGAATTCCGGATAATTTCATACCTCACGTGCCGTGATTGGCTGTGAATTTTCCGGATACCTGGTTTCCGTCGGGAGCAGGAAGGATGGACCCGTACAAGCTGCTAAACGTGGCTCGGTACGACGTGCGCATGGACCGCGCAGGATGAAGACGTGTGTAGGAATGCGACGCAAAAGGACATTAGGAAAGCATACCTGAAGCTCGGTACGTCATCTTTTTGCTGAGTTGAAGCGTGACATGTGCGATAGCCAAGCAGCTCCATCCGGACGTCACTGGAAATGACCAGGTGAGTGGCGAATGAACCACGCCGCCACGACTCCCGTCGCCGCGATAGGAAAAAGCCGCGCTGTTTAAGCAAGTCAATGAGGCGCACGCCCTGCTGTCTGACGCCGGCGCCCGAGCTGGAAAGTTCCATCGCCAAATTGCGGCGGCAAGAATGTTGTGGCTCAACGTCCTCTGTCACAGATTACGACCAACGCCAAGGCAGTCGATTTACCTCTCATCACCACCACACGCATCGACATGGCGCGTACTCGTCGCGGCAGGAGACAGAGTACTCACCGCGCAGCCGCACTCGACATGGCACCGCCCAAGATGCAGAGTACATCACCCTCTCTAGCTTGTGGATACCTCTCATGCGTGTGGAATGCAGCAACCCGATGTACGGGATCAATCACGACGTGTGGTACGCGCACCACTACGGCATCCACGCGCAACGATCTGCGCGATGGACGTCGATGCGAAACCAAGGATACGGCATGCACGTTGCCCACGAAATGTACGAGAACGAAATGCAACGAATCAAACGGTACGTGCACTTTCCATCGCACGACGACGTCATGGTGCATGAAACGTAGACAAGAAGAGACGCACAAGATCAAGAACGGGTACTTCCTCCGCCAGGAAGCCAGGGAACGGAAGCGGGCGGCGGAGACCAAGCCACCGCCGCCTCCTAGCAAGGACGACGAGAGCTGCTGCATTTCATAGATCTCCCAACGTACATTGATTGGATAGAAATAGACAACACCGACCAATCTCTTGTAGGAATTGAGACTATTTTAGCCAATAAAAGTGCATGAAAGAAAATAGACTGATTTGATTGGATGAAAGATGCGTGACAGGCTTTCATTGGATGAAATGATCGTAGCCTCCGCCACGGGGCCAACGACCATGTCGCGCCTTCCGAGAGTTGTTGCGAGCAAGGTGCTTCATGAGTCACGATGGCTTCGCATGAAGGAGCTTCGGTACCAAGACCTGGGCTCCATCGAGCGATCGTACATCAGTGTGGAGCGCACCACGCGGCCAGCAGGTGCTGACGTCGATGCCGTGCTGGTTTTACCGCTTCTTCATCGAGGTGCTTCATCGACCGCGGTGCTCGTTCGCCAATTCCGTCCGCCGCTTGGTACGACGAAAGACAGTGCGACGTTGTGTGTTTGAATATGCATGTAGACAATTGGGCGATCGAGTTACCCGCGGGCCTGATTGATGCCGGGGAATCGATCGAGGAGACCGTGGCACGAGAAATCAAGGAAGAAACCGGGTACAACGTGATCAAGTTCCTCTCGGTCGGGCCGCCCATCGTCACCGACCAGGGTAACGTCAAGAACTAGGTTCTTCCCAGATCTAATGATAGTGGCGGCAGGCATCACGAACGGCAGTTGTCGCTTTGTGGTCGTGGACGTGGAGGCGCCGACCCGCACGGATGAAGACGGAGACGATGCACATCCTCCCCAGGCGCTGGAAGAGACTGAAATGATTCAGGTCCTGCACGTTCCCATGCATTCCCTTCTCGAAACACTCGAGGAGCGCCACCGTGTACATGGCGACGCCATCGACGCGCGCCTTTACAGCTACGCATTGGGCCGCCAGCTCGGATTGCCGCCGTTGACTTAATGGAGATCCTAACTAAATCGAACTTCCACAAAGCCTTGCGTGCATGCCTCCTCTATCAATTCCACGAAGTTACCGTTGCCGCAGCACGAAGCGGGTGGAGGTTGATATCCAGTTCGTACCATTAGCCTTGGTCTGGGCAGCGACTTCTCGTCCTATCCCACGATGCTGGGCCTAGCCGCGTGCCCTCAAGCGCATCCATTTGCCACCGTTGGACGGTCCGTCTATGTGCGTGCCTCCAGTTGGTGACGACGCGCATTCCGCCACCCAGTCTCGATGGAGGCGGCGCTGTTGAAACGCGTAGTCGTGCCGCTTCGAGTGATGCTCCTGGCATGGACCGATGCTTGCGCCAGCAACATCACATACAACTTGTCTCGTTTGCAAAAGGAAGGCATGGCAACGATCGATGGTCGATTGTCTATTCCCGTGATGCAGGGCTGGTGCCGTCGACACCTCCTTGACGCGCGAGATCCACGATTCTTGACCTGGCTCCCATGTGCAATACGGCCGAGGGGCTGGCGAGTCGTAGCCTTGGGTCCACAGGCGCAAAACTCGGCCCAGTTCGCATGTTTCTCTTGGAACTGAGTTTGATATGGGTGGGGGCACTTCTGGACTTGCCACGTTGTCCAGTCGAGGGAGTCGTCGGTTGGCGAACTGTGGGCTGCGGCCCCGTTTTTCCTTGATGTGTCAAGGTGTCAGCCCGACCAGACGAATTGCCTACCGAGCCACGCATGCTCACGATGCACCGTGTTTCAGTTGGATGCTGCCCTGGAGAGCATTTTCGTGACGGTATCTTGACGTGATGGGGGCAACCACATGCGGTACAGCATCGACACCACGTTATGAGGATTCAAGCGCCGCATACATGGAGTTACGCCAACGTGTCTCTTGGACTCTCGGGGGTACATACGTCCCCGCGACCGAAATCTTGCAAGCCCACCGACGGCGTCACGGCGCTGCCCCCCCCCTTCGTACGTGTCAGGGACACGAGTGCCCTTGCGCACGCGGCAAGTCGACGAGATGTTTCCCCTGGCATGGCCGTCGTGGGCATCGAGCCATCTCGTGGAAACGTTGTCAGATGACCGAAACTGGCTCATCTCGATCTGGTTGTCGACGGGTGGATGATCTCAGGTATAAAGTTCAGTGTTTCAAATGTTGCACGCCGCTGTATATGTCCACTGTATCATTGGGGTATAGTATTATCTATATCAACGTTGCATATAAAAGTTGCGTTTTCAATTCCAGCGAAACGCCGGGTGACGATCTTGGCACCACCAACACAGTGCCCGAGCCGCCTGCGTTGGTGCATCATTTTCGTTTTCACCATGAAGTTCGTATC